TGCTGACCTTAACAAGCCCTTCCGTTTTGAAGGAGCTCACTTTAAAAGATGGAAACAAAAAATGCAATTTTTCTTAACTGTCAAAAAAGTTAATTCTGCCTTAACAGCCCCTCGGCCATTTATTCCTGATAATGCTCCTGAAGATGAATTAGCTTACTTGAATAGTGAAATCGAAACCTGGAATGAAACTGACTTCGTGTGCAAAAACTATATACTTAATGGTCTGTCTGATAACCTCTATGACTATTATAATATGGAAAACACTGCTAAGGATTTGTGGGATGCCCTACAAAAAAAGTATGATACTGAAGAAGCAGGTGCCAAAAAGTATGCTGTCAGTAGGTACCTAAAATTCCAGATGACTGATGATAAGTCCGTGGAAGTGCAGTCTCACGACCTTCAGAAAATTGCCCATGAGATAATTTCCGAAGGTATGGCCCTTGATGAACAATTTCAAATTGCTGTTATTATTGACAAGTTGCCTCCTTCCTGGAAAGATTTCAAAAATAATCTCAGGCATAAGACTAAGGAATTCTCCTTAGAGAGTTTGATCACTCGGCTACGTATAGAAGAAGAATCCAGAAAACAGGATCTAAAGGAAGAGATTTTACAAATCTCTGCTAATAATGCTCCTAGGCGATCTGCTGCAGTACTTAAACCTGCTGGTAAGAATTTCAAACCTCAGAACCGGAAGAATAACTTCAATAAACCGAATGCTCAAAAGAACAATGGAAGACAACAGTCACAACCCCCTAAGAATGGTACTGGTCAATTTCTGTGCTATCGGTGTGGAAAACCAGGCCATATGGCACGAAAGTGCAGGAACATGCCTAACCCTGTGCCAGCGCAGGCTAGCATGATTGAAGAGCCTTTTGTGGCTATGATTACTGAGATCAACCTTACTGGTGGATCAGATGGGTGGTGGATAGACACTGGTGCCACACGCCATGTCTGTTATGATCGTCGAATGTTTAAAACATACACTGAAAAGACCGATGATAAGAAAGTACTGTTGGGTGATTCCCATTCCACTAACATTGCTGGTGTTGGAAATGTTGAGTTGAAGTTTACTTCTGGCAGGACTCTCATTCTGAAAGATGTGTTACACACTCCGGAAATGAGGAAGAATTTAGTTTCTGGTTTTTTGCTTAATAAGGCTGGTTTTATACAAACCATAGGTTCTGATTTGTTTACTTTAACTAAGAATGGAATATTTGTAGGAAAAGGATATGCTACTGATGGCATGTTCAAACTGAATGTTGAAGTTAATAAAATTTCTAATTCTGCTTATATGTTGTGTTCTACTATTAATGTTTGGCATACTAGACTTTGTCATGTGAACAAAAGACTCATAAAAAATATGAGCAATTTAGGCCTTATTCCAAATATCTCTCTCAATGACTTTGACAAATGTGATTCTTGTAGTCAGGCTAAGATTACAAAAACTCCTCATAAATCAGTGATTAGAAATTCAGAACCATTAGACTTAATTCATTCGGATATTTGTGAACTAAATGGGACGTTGACCAGAAATGGACAACGATACTTTATCACCTTTATTGATGATTGTTCTGATTATACTTGTATTTATTTGATGAAAAATAAGAGTGATGCTTTTGAAATGTTTAAGTTGTTTATAACAGAATTTGAGAATCAGTTTAACAAGAAAATAAAAAGATTACGAAGTGATCGTGGAACTGAGTATGGTACTGATGCTTTTGTAGAATTTTATAATTCACATGGTATCATACATGAAAGGACAGCTCCTTATTCCCCAGAAATGAATGGAAAGGCTGAAAGGAAAAATAGGACCCTTACAGAATTAGTAGTTGCTATTTCCTTATATTCTGGTGCTGCTGATCATTGGTGGGGTGAAATTCTACTAACTGTTTGTTATGTCTTAAATCGTATTCCAAAGACTAAGAGTAAGGTTTCTCCCTATGAAATACTTCGTAATAAACGACCTAACATTTCTTATTTCAGAACTTGGGGTTGTCTAGCATATGTTAGGATTCCTGATCCTAAAAGAGTCAAATTAGCTAGTAGAGCTTATGAATGCGTATTCATTGGATATGCTATTAACAGTAAGGCATATAGATTCTTTGATTTAAATGCTCGTGTAATTATTGAATCTAATGATGTTGATTTTTATGAGGACAGGTTTCCTTTTAAATCTAGAAATAGTGGGGGCACGTCCTCCTCTATTATTCCTAAAGACAGGTCTAACTCACAAGACTTGGATGCTGAACCCGAACTAAGAAAGAGCAAGCGGGCTAGAGTAGCAAAAGACTTCGGCCCAGACTTTGTAGTTCTGAATGTAGAGGAGGATCCTTCTACCCTCCAAGAAGCTCTAACCTCAGTGGATGCAGATTTATGGCAAGAAGCCGTGAACGACGAAATGGACTCACTTGAGTCTAATCGAACTTGGCATCTAACTGAGTTGCCACCAGGTTGCAAGTCAATTGGTTGCAAATGGGTCCTAAAAAGAAAGCTGAAAGTTGATGGGACCATTGATAAGTTCAAAGCCCGTTTAGTAGCTAAAGGCTACAGACAAAGGGAGAATGTTGATTTCTTTGATACCTATTCACCTGTAACTAGAGTAACATCTATTAGAGTATTAATATCTCTTGCTTCTGTTTTTAATCTTGTAGTACATCAAATGGATGTGAAGACTGCATTCTTGAACGGTGAATTGGAAGAAGAAATCTACATGGATCAACCGGAAGGATTCGTTGTTCAAGGAAAAGAGCATCTGGTATGTAAGCTAGATAAATCTCTTTATGGTCTCAAACAAGCACCTAAACAATGGCATGAAAAATTTGATAACTTAGTCATCTCACATGGTTTTAAGATAAATGGTAGTGACAAATGCATATATGTAAAATTTGAGAATGACATATGCACTATAATTTGTCTATATGTGGATGACTTGTTAATTTTTGGCTCGAACATTCATGCTGTGAATGATGTAAAGCTATTGTTGAATGCTGAGTTTGATATGAAAGACCTAGGAGAGGCTAATGTAATCCTTGGAATTAAGATTACTAGGACAGAAAATGGAGTTTCTTTGGATCAATCTCATTACATTGAGAAGATCCTAAAGAAATATAGTTACTTTGACTGTAAACCTGCTAGTACACCTTATGATTCCAGTGTTAAATTATTTAAGAACACTGGTGATGCCGTAAGGCAATCGGATTATGCGAGCATCATTGGCAGCCTTCGGTATGCCACTGATTGTACTAGACCCGACATTGCCTATGTCGTGGGATTGTTAGGCAGGTTTACTAGTTGTCCTGGTAATGAGCATTGGCATGCTATTGAAAGGGTCATGAGATACCTTAAGAGGACCATGAACCTAGGGTTGCATTATGAAAGGTTTCCAGCTGTACTAGAAGGCTATAGTGATGCTGACTGGAACACCTTATCAGATGACTCTAAGGCTACTAGTGGATATATTTTTTCTATAGCCGGTGGAGCTGTATCTTGGAAGTCTAAGAAACAGACTATTTTGGCTCAGTCCACCATGGAGTCAGAAATGATAGCACTAGCTACGGCTAGTGAAGAAGCAGGTTGGTTAAGAGGCCTGCTAGGTGAAATTCCCCTATGGGAAAAGCCATTACCGGCTGTCTTGATCCATTGCGATAGTACCGCGGCTATTGCAAAAGTTCAGAACCGTTATTACAACGGTAAGAGACGACAAATACGTCGTAAGCACAGCACTGTGAGAGAATATCTCTCTATCGGAGCTGTTAGAGTGGATCACGTACGCACTGAGAATAACTTGGCTGATCCTTTGACGAAAGGATTAGCTAGGGAGAAAGTCCATTTTTCTTCTAAGAAAATGGGACTATTGCCATTGAAATGAACCACACATAATGGTAACCCAACCTATGAACTGGAGATCCCAAGAAATAGGTTCAAAGGGTAATAACAAGTTATGGTGTGTTATGAGTTGAATATGTTCAAAAGACATAATTTCCTGAAGCGATCAAGGATGAGTTAATAGGAACTCTTAATGAAATCTATACTCCAATTTGGAGTGGAGTACCAAGCTACAGGAGTACTCTTGATAGATTCACCTATGTGAATGTGGAAGTTAGGCCGCTTCCTATGAAATGTGTGGCAGCATTTCTAGAGCATTCACTACACTGGGATAGACGTGCATGGCCGAAATAGCACGGGTCTAGAACAACACCAAGAGTAGGTTGTGTGGGGTACGTTGTCAGAGATAGGGTTCAAAACTTCGAGTCACCCTTGTTGAATCTGAATCGTACTCACTACGTCGAAGTTCAAGTTGAAAAACACTTCTGTTTATGCGCAACCTATATATGTATGGATTCTGCTCGAAAATGTTTTAAAAAAATTCAAGTGGGGGATTGTTGGAACAACAAGTGTGTAGTGTGTAGTGTGTGAATTTTGTGAAAAACTCAAAGTCCCACATTGGTGGGAAATGAGAGTTTTACTCTCTTTATAATATAGAGAGTGGGCTAAAGGGGTGTGGCCCTTGGGCTACCCACATTTTGTGGAGAGGGAGGACCTATATGGTAAACCATCTATCACACACACGCGCGCCGAACCGGGCCGGGTCGGGTCGGGTCGGGTCGGGTTTATTAAATAAACTTATTTTTTGGACAAGGCTAATTGCGTGATTAGTTCCTTGATTTTTGCTAAACGTTTTTGACTGATTGCATTTGACCGTTTTTATTCAAAACTGATTAATGGAGCGTTAATCATGCAAACGTTTTCACTGATTTTTTGCTAAACGTTTTGCCACGCATTAATCTTCTGTAACCGTTTTGAACGTTCAACTTATGACCGTTTTAATTGCGTGATTAGTGCCTAATTAAACAGCAGCAGTTACGTTGCAATTTTTCCTATAAAAGGCGTGTTGATTTCCTGTTTTTGATACACAAAAAATACGAACAGCAATCTTCTTCTCCTCTCTATTTTTCCTCACAAAAACAAAACCCTCGAGCAGTTTCTTTTCTTCTTGGGTGTTTAGTTGCCCGGTGGTTTTGTGCAGTTCCACCGGTATAATTACAATAGAGAAAGGCTGTTTTATCCTGGGGAACATCCGGTTTAGTACGAACTGCTTGCACCATTTCAGGGCAGTGCCGTGAATGTTCTAAAGAAAGCGACATAGTCCGCGACTCAGTCTATTTTTCGGTAACTTTGTTCTTACTGTTTTTGTTCCCGCAGTTCCGTTTATAACACATGTAATCTTGGTTACAATTTAGTTTAACTTTTATAATCGAGTTCGCCAGTTCGGTCAATCATGTCAAGTCAGTTCTATTAGTCTGAATGTCTGATACTATCAAATCTGGTCATCAAGAATCTGATAGAAATGAAGTTCTCCAATAAATATATTATGTATAAGAGGCAATTATAAATTTGATTATAATTTTTCATTGTTACACCAAGGTATTTCACACAGTAAAGAGAAAAATAAATAAAAAAAAAAAGTAAAAAGCCTCATCTTCCTCTATACAAAAAGGTGCCCCTAATATTTAGAGACTGGGTTCTTTTAAGGAAGAGGGCTGCTTTGTGAGCTTTGTGTTCCTAAATAAAATGTCTATGCAACCTGATTTGTGTAGTTTTATCAGAACTGAACAACTGCCTAAATCAGACAAAAATCCACAAAAAAGAAGTAAAAAAAGAATTTGAAGTTATCTGAACAATGTTTAGTTTCGCAAGTTTTAGTTGTATTTGCTGCTGTTATCTTAAAACTGCGAAATACACCGCCTATGACAAGCAGCAGGAGGCTTCTTTTGCTTGGTTTCTTCTTTCCAGATTTTTCCAATGTCTTCTGCTACTCTGATGGCATCTTCTGATGCACCGGATAATCCTCGTTTTGTGAACCCGGCTGCGTATAATCCGGCATTTCCTTTCCAGCCATTGGGGAATGGCGCTTTCGGGAATCCATTTTTGGTAAAGAAATCACTTTCCTAAAGAAGCAAGAATGAAAAAAGAAATCAGTTGACAATTCTTCAGAAAAATGCTGTAATAACTTCTGTAAAGTCAAACCAGACAAGACTCCAACATCCTACGGTTGGGGTGCTTAAGTTACATGGCTAAGGTCATTATTTAAATGTTTGACAAACCCACCATTAATTTTATTCCCTTGATTTTAAGATCCAAACTGGCAGTCATTTTTATATCATTTTAATTTTTTTCCTTGAAATTCAGATCTACTAGTTAAAAAATAAGAATTTATTTTTGTGAAAGACAAAATGTAAGTAAAAAGGAAGAAAAATATAGCAGCCTCTGTTTTTATCCTATGATAACTAACAGTTTAAAGAAAGAAAAAAAAATCCAAGAAAATCTCAGTTACCAGACATGAAAAAATCTTATAAAAAAATGACTTGAATGAATTTTGATCCTCACCTTCAGCCATAGGGGAACGTTGCTGCGGTACCCAGTAGCGAGGATAACGGAATCGACCTCACGAATCTCTCCATCGACAAAGGCGACTTTACCTCTGGCAAATCTCTTGATACCAGGAACAACCTTAATCTGTCCTGATCTGATTTTACCAAATGTACCAAGGTCCAACACTGGGGTCTTTCCTTCTGTATTCTTCAGCTCCATTGGACCAACTTCCGGCCTTTTTAGACCGTATTTGTCTGTGTTTCCGAGCAATAAACTTGCTAGAAACAGCAGTATCTTATCAACTGTACGCAGTGAGAACCACCTCAATAGTGTCATTGCCAACTCGAATGTCGATTTCCCCAGTACGTCTTTAGGCAGTACATGAACCTGTTGAAATTCAAATAAATTTTACTTGGTCAGTTTAAGCCTAACACATATTTTTCTTAAGAATTCAAAGTTTTTTTTCAGTTTATGTTCTTACCGAGCTACGAACACAAAGTAAGGGTTGAACATCATGGTTACAAAGATCAAGAGAAACTTCCATCCCAGAATTCCCACACCCTACAACCATAACTTTTTTGCCGCGGTATTGCTCACCAGATTTGTACTCACATGCATGGATAATATCACCACCAAATTCATGGAACCCAAAAAACTTGGGCACCACCTTTTCAGCATTTTCGCCGGTGGCAACCACAATCCACCGGCATATATACTCAACCTCGCGCTTGTTGGTGCAGTTATCAGCACCCAAAGCGGTCTTAATCCTCCAAAGACCACATGTTTCATCATACTCAGCAGACTGCACTGACTCATTGAACTGAGGTTGTATGTCGAATTTCTTAGCGTAAGACTCAAGGTAGTTTATGAACTGGTCTTTTGAAGGGTATTCAGGGTAGTCATCAGGGAAAGGGAAATTAGGAAGCTGACAGAATTGCTTAGGAAGGTGAAGCTTAAGGCGGTTATAGGTACGTATTTGCCATAGCGAGGCAATGCAGTTGGCTCGCTCAAGCACGATAAAGGGGACACCTTGTTCCTTAAGCCCTGCAGCCACTGCTAACCCTGAAGGGCCAGCACCAACTACCACCGGTCCATTCACCCACACACATCGCTTAGCGAAGAATTCTTCGTGGTTGGCCGAGGTGGTTTTGGCTATGAAAGCGGCATTGCTTACCGGATTCATAATGGTAATATAATTAGTAGAGTTGAAGTATTAGTTAGGTTGTTTGTATATCAAAGGTGTTCAAAGGACTAAAGGAGATGTATTAGCAATAATAAGAGGAGAGAGAAATCACGAACGAGTTTTTAGAGAGAGAAAGAGAGAGAGAGATGGTTAATTGCTTGGTTGGAGAAATGGGTGTAGTGAGAATGGGGGAGGTGGTAAGAGGGGTTTAAATAAGGGGAAGATTGCCCTTAAGAGATGCATGAGACTAACATGTGAATTAACTTCTCATAGAAGAGCTCAAAGAATTTTATTAAACATTTAATAATTCAAAAAATATTCTTGTACTCATAATATTATACCATAATATTATACAATGTATATATAGAAATTCTTCTATTCAAGTTGTTTAGATGTATGATTGTCATATACAAATAAGTATTGTATCTGAATTTTATTTCATATATTTATATATAATTAACATTATATACTTGTTGTTGCATTATGATTTTATGGCACCTGCCATTAGAAGGTGCTTTTAATCATTCTTTGATTCATTTTAATCATTTGATTATCATTGCCACTGGCTCCACCAAATCCTGCATTTTCTCTTTTTAAAGAAATTTTAATAAAGTTTTCAACTTTTAAAATGTCTTCTCAAAGGTCTCGTTGTTACTTTTGTGAAGATTTTTGAAAGATGATTAGTAGAAATAGGCAAATAGCAACTCGACTAATTTGGGAAAATTTTATGCGTTGTAGTTAACAAGATTGTGTATTTACCTGGTTTATTGAGTTAAAATGAACTTTTAAGTTTGAAGCCTGAGCTTAATTGCAAGCCGAGCAACCACTAGCTTATATGTTCAACTCAACTTATGAAAATGAACTTTAAATTTGAGCTCGATAACAAGTGTTGCAAGCCGAAAAAATAACCATTAGCCTGTGTTGAACTCATCAACTAATTAACATCCTTAATTGTGATCTCCACAAAGCTGATATCTTACCTAGATGTTTTGAGTTTTTTTCATAAAAAACTTTTGAAATTAAGGTTGCATCATAAATCAAAGTGTCTTATGTTGAAGAACAAAATGTCTTATGTAAATTCTTCACACTAGTATGTAGATGTTAGATTTTAATTGAAACAAATTAGGTAAGATGAATGAACCTTCTAAACCCGACTCCTAACTAGACTATCTATACGACTATAATGATTGTGTTACTATAAGCAAAGAGATTTAGGTCGCATATCTCCTCATCTAAGATCCCTGTGGTCTACATATCAAATCTTATGAGAATCATTTGATAGATTTCTCTTATTCCTTCAATTGGGTCTCCATATAAAAAATACATAAGTAACACCGCTTTTGAAATTCTTATTAACATGAAGTAAGCTTATGTGGCACTCCTAATTAAAAGAAGATTACACAACAATTTCTCTTTATGCCAAGAATTAAATCATCCTTGATGAACTAAAACATAGTATATTATATTAGTAGACTTGTGCATCCAAGTTTAGAAACTACTAAATAATTTAATGTTGCTTTGCTTGGATATTACGTGAATAAGACTTTACATTATCTCCTGTAAATTGTTAATTTAGAGATTCTAGTTATGCTAATTAAGGTTTGTTGTTACATCCTAGTAGTGATAATGGTCGCATATAGAGGAATTAGTTTGCTAAGTCGAAGGCAAAGACTGAAATTTTAGTGGTTTTTAATTGAGATCTAAGATGGACAACCGTATTACAGATGAACATGTTAAGCTACAATTAATGTTCATGTCTCTTTTACATCCCTCTTTTTATCTTTATTTTATATATCTTTCTTTTGGAAGATCTATAACTTAGTATATAGTACTAGTATATGTATAGCTAGCTTTGTTTCTTCATCATCTTTGTTTGGGAAATCTACTCCGAGTTCGAATAACGTAGTTGATAAATTCTTTAATTCAACTTTTAAGCGAAATAAATGTAATATTTTAAAATACGACCATATATAATAATAGCAGAAAATATAAGTTTATCTACGAGATAAACATTTTTTGTTTATCACATAATATTTTTGTAAATAATTAACTTTTTCATTAAATATGGTCCCATAGTTATTGATTACTTGATAAAGTAGTTAATTTATTTAAATAAACTTGGGCTTCCTCCATATATATTGTTAGACTATTTGCGTGTAATAAATTTTTTTTGGTTATGATCTCATTCTCTGTTCTTTTTCCAAGAAATAAGATATAAAAAAAGAGAGAATTTGTAGAGAATGGTTTATTTTAATAAAAAGAGAAAATTTGTTGAGAATAGGTTTATTTTAATAAACTTGGGCTTCCTCCATATATACTTTTTTTGATAGAAAAGAAAATTTTATTTTGACAAGCGAGTATTATTCCATATAAAGTATACTCATATGATAAGGTTATGGAAGTTAAAAGAAATAATTTTCAATTTAATTCAATAAAGAGAAGTAGAAATAGAAATTCAACAAATATTATATATTGATTTTTACCAAGTCATTTTTTTTGTAAATAGAGTAAATTTATATATGTACTAGTTTGGTGTCTCATGCGATGCCCAGGTTGTTTATTGAATTCTAAGATAAACTTTTTATTTATGTACCAAAGTTTTAAAATATACCATTGATATAATACAAAGACAAACATTTAAGAAAAAATCGGATGTACAATAAAATATTGTAAATCTACTATAAAGTTACCTTAAAATGATCAAAAGTTACCCTATAATGAATGAAAGTTACTTAGTATATATAAGATACCCTGATATAAATAAAAGTTAATTATGCTTTAATGATAAAAGTTACCCAAAAAAGTCTAAAAGTTACCCTAAACTCAATATAAGTTACCTCGATGTATAGTAATTACTGTATATCAGATGCATCAAAATTTTTTGTGATACTAATGTAATACTCCCTCCGTTTTTAAATATTTGCTCCACTTTCAATTTTAGGCCGTTTTTAAATACTTGCTCCATTTCCTTACTCTCTCCGTTTTTAAATACTTGCTCCATTTCTCCATGTGCGGAGTTTCAGGAATAATAGGAGAAAGTAATAAAATATAGAGGTAGTGGGGTAGGGGGAAGAATAAAAAATTGTAAAAAGCAAAAGTAGTTGAGAGAATCGGAGGAGAGAGAATATAAAATTAATAAAATATGATTTATATTGGGTCCACTAGGTAAGAAAAATGAATTAAATATTGTGAAAGATTTCCAAATAAGGAAATGGAGCAAGTATTTAAAACCGGCCGAAAAAGGAAAGTGGAGCAAATATTTAAAAACGGAGGGAGTATTTGGAAAGCTTTTACGATATTTAATTCATTTCTTTCAACTAGTAGATCCAACATAAATCATATTTTATTGATTTCATATTCTCTCTTCTCTGATTCTCTCAACTATTGTTTTTTACAGTTTTTTTTATTCTTTAACCTACCCCACTACCTCCCTATTTTATTACTTTCTCCAATTTCTCCTAAAACTCTGTGCATGGAGAAAGGGAGCAAGTATTTAAAAATGGAGGGAGTATTACTGTACATTGGATGTGTACAAAAAATTTTGTAATACAAATTATTTAGGAATTAAAGGTTGTTACTCAAAAAATATGTATTTACATAGTATACTCCATAAAATGTACTCCCCCATAACGTTTATAGGTAAAACCAGTATTGATATTTTCAATAATATCTATACTTTTGGTCTTAGACATGCCAAATTTAACATCTTATGTAAATCAATACAATAGCTACAATAGTTCAGTTGGAAAATTTATATTCATATAATTTTTTCTAGGATATCCAGAAAATACTTGTTAGTACTTGAAATTTCATGCACTTAACATGTGTGATGGAAATTTCTCTATTAATCTCTTTCTCTCTCACTCGCGATCTCTTCGAAATTTATGTTATGTAATTCGTCTTACTAAATACTAACTACAATTAATTCATTCGTTATTCTTATTATTCACTCTCTACTATAAAATCTACCTTAACTAATTATATCCCTCAATATACGTGTTCAAACATAATTAAAAGAGAACAGAAGACAATTATGTCACAAAATTAAAAAAAAACCCTACCCTCCTCTCTCTCTTCTCTCTCCTAAACTCTAGCCTCCATTGTCAATTTTAAAGGGGTTTACATCGGATTTCCCCGGTGGAAAGCCCCAATCTTTATTTTCTTTTAAGCCTTTTGTTTCTTAGGTTACAAAAATGTGTCCCTCAAAAGGAAGGGTTTATCTCCTTTGAAAAACAAGGTTTTTTCGATCACCTTCGAAAGACAAGGTTTTTCGGACTTCTTCGAAAGACAAGGTTTTATTTGTGTTTAATTTGGTCTCCGGTTGTGCGAGACTATGATTGATTATGGCTTCGATTCGGATTACGGAATCAGCACAAGAATTTAATTTCTCAAAAAATTGCGAAGTGACAACGGATCCACTCAAAAAGTTGTATGAGACAACGAATCGAGAATGTGCCGAATTGTTATATTTATGTATTTGGATTCTTAGCCTTTCCCGATTAATTCTTGTTTGATTTTGTTAAATTCGTTTTCATTATCGTTAATTGTCAATTATAGATATCGTATACCTTTAAGTAATGAAATTTAGTATCCTCTAAAACTCCTTTGAAAAAAAAAAAAGAGAGAGAGAGAGAACATAAGACGTATATATAATGACTTAACGAGCTGAGAGCAAGACTAGTGTAAATGTTGCTAATTATGCGGAGTAACTCTCTAGAAATTACTTGAACTCTAAGAAAAGAAAAAAAGCTAAAGGGAATGTTACTAATATATGCTTATTACCGATGAATGCATGGTTTTTGTGCTAATAACAATTCATTTTGGTTTCGTTCCATGCTAGGCGGCTGCTCATCCCAATGGTTGCAAATTTTCATATAGCCGCTTTATTTGGCTGTTAAAGACTTTTCTACGAGTATCTCTTTTTTCATAATTTGGTATGGATATCTACGCCTACTAGGCTACTAGTCTATTACCATCTAAATGTCAGTGATTTGAACTTATAATCTTCTTACGGAGTATTATATTGACTTTAAAATCATGTTAAATGATTAATTTAATAAAATGATAATTCTATATGTAGCCTATAAACTTTAAATATTAACTTAAAGAATAAAATATATAATTAGTTTTTATACTATGTTAGTGAGATTCAAGATATGAATTCCATGTATACTAAAAAGATTGCTCTGTTTCTCTCAATCCAATTCATTATAAGTTATACCTAGTGGGTTGGTTGGTTTTTTTTTTTTTTTTTTTTTTTTTTTTTTTTTTTTTTTTTTTTTTTTTTTTAGGTAAGATGAAGGGTCGTATCGAGTCAAAACCCCTCATGGGT